CAACGCATCTTCGCACATGTGCACGTACAAAAATTCGGTAATTTACTTCAATAAAACTTAGTAAAAGTTTTGCCAATTACGTTTCAATATCGTGTCCATCAAAGTAATTTTTATCTTTCATAAAAATATTCTCTTAAGACTTCTGTTTTCTCTCGCCGCTGTAACGAATTATGACATTTCAGAAGCTGATCGGAAATTTCTTACATCATTTTTCTTTATGTAGAAATGTCTTATATTTTTAGAGAGAATGAATATATACTATCGAATGAGTGCGAAAAAGTTAATTTATCTTGAATTTGATAATTTACATTGTAAAGAAACAAATTCACCTCATTTTGGATTTCTCATATAATTTTACGCGTGAGAAAACAGGAGTTTTATGTCTGTTTCTACCAATGTAGATTAATTTTGATCTCAGTTGAATTCTTCATCTTTTTCTAATTCTTAGTATCAGAAAAGAATGAAGAGCAAATTGAATCAAGATTAAAATTAATACATTGATAGAAACGAGCATTAATGTCGTTAAATGAGATAGACATCTAATAGACATGTAAACGTGCCCGTTTATAAAAAATCGATAGAAAGCGGAATAAGAATTTATTGATTCACGTCATTTCCTCGAGAATATCGGCTGTATTGACTAAAATCAATTTCGCGTTTCTTGTCTACATATAAATGCAATTTGACACGGCACGATTATGCTTGAATTATCGTAAAACTACGATTTCTTAAGATGCTTTACGACGAGGATTCATCTATGTCATGTATAAAACTGACCTGCGGTTCCCGCGCACACGTCTATTTTTATACAAAATCTTACAAAAGTGTAAAGCATTACACGTATCCTCGTACGAGGATGAATTGCCATATAAAAATGCATGAATTATATTGATCAGTCATATCAAACATACAAATATAAGATAGAAAGAATAACTTGGGGGTGTGTCCTAGAGAAAATATAGTGTAGACAATACATCGCGTACGTTCTAGCGTTCCAGAAATTATTAAAAATGTTATAAAAAGAAGGAATTCGAAAAATATCAAGATTTACGATTGTAAAGTTATCCTTTCATCTCTTATTGTAATACATGGAAGGCCGGAAAAAAAAATGGAAAAAACTTGGAAAACAAAAGAAAATATATTCTAGTAGTCACATTGATCATAGGTGACTCATGATTATAAAAACAACAGCTTTCTAATTAACGAAAACTCCTAATTTGGTATACAAGTATATCTGTAACGTGGATGGTTTTGTGGGCAGAGTTTGCCTTCGATTATACACTGAACCACCCACGTGGTGGACAAGATTGGAATATTTAATTGAATCGCCTTCTTCTGTGCCCACGATGGACACTTCCAATTAGACATGACTACAGTATCGGCAAAATCCGTCTCCATTGCATCTGAAAAAAAAAAAACAAAAACAAAAATTCATAAGCTTTTCTATTAATCATAATTTGAGATAATACACGCGTGTGAAACAATTTTATTTGAATTTCTACACATTTAATAAACTATATACAAGGTGCGTCACCAAAATCCGGACAAATCGAACAATTTCTTTAAACAAAATGTTTTTAATGAAAAATTAAATATTACAGAAAATCCTTTTACATGGCACTTGGGGAATTTCTGTAGAGCACAATTATTTCCCCATATATTCTCCATTAGCTTGAATGACGGCCTCTATTCTTGGTCTAAAGTGTTCGCACGCTATAATGTAGCGCTGTCCATGCCGATGAATGTTGTCTTAATAGTGATCCTTAATGATGTCACATTGGGATGCCGAGACTTGTTTATGACCCTTTCAACTACGCTCTATACCGTAGTAGTCCAAGAGATTTAAATCTGTTGGAAAGCCAAAATGGGAGCCGAGACGAGCAACTCGACTTGTTCTGGCAGCCTCAGGAAGTATCTGTCATATCTTTAATGTATATGATTTATATCGAAGGTCCTCCTCGGCAATTCGATGCATTGTTGGCTCACTTACACCAATCAATAATTTTCGCAATGATTACCCTGGGTCATTCGAAATCAGCGCTTGAATCCTTTCAATAACTGCGGAGGTCCTCGTGGTGCGTTCTTTCGAGTGACTCTTCCTCACTGGCATACTGAAATCTTCGTTGGACTGTTGTCCGTATATTTTGCCACAACATCATAAACGGTTGGTTTCGGGTATCCAAAGAACCGAATTATTTCGTTGCTAAGCGCCCAGCACGAAGGTCTTCGATGACGCGGCTCTTCGATCGACACTCCGCACTTGATTTCAACATCGCGGCCATGTTGAGAATATGACTGTTTACTAAAAGCATCAGGCTTTCTCGGACGCCAACAACAATCTCTGGCGGAGGCATAATATAGCGGAAAATTTAAATTGAATTTAAATTGATTTGTCCGAATTTTGATGACGCACCCTATGTATTTTTATCTTAATATTATACATATATCGGTAGCTGCTGAATAGTAAATTTGCTTTAAAGGAACTTATTGACGAGTTGATCTTAATGATGAAATAAAATACCTGGATTCTCCGCGATTATAACTACCGCGCCCGCGTGCTCGCAGACTTGTCGCCAGAATGTGGCAAATTGTGGCAAATTGATGGATGCCAGACTAGGAATTATTACGACGATTTCTGACAACGGTTTCTTTGTATATGCATCATGCCCTTCTACGTAAGCTTTTCTCTGCAAACTCCAGCCGTTTGGAAGAGCAACTTCCGCCTTGTTTATGGTCCTTTTCTAAAAACATACGATAAAATGTGAGACTGTTATTTGTGACGCAATTGTTGACAATTTAATCAAATACAATAATAAACGAAATCATGGTATGACATACAGCGAAAATATTGCAAAAGAAACATTGAAACGAGATTATGAAAGGAAGATGTATAATAAAGTTTATTCAATAAACTTTTTAAATAAAATTTACTTTAATACTAAATAGCGTTATCTAGATTTATTAGAACAACATTGCCTAGATTTGTAATTTTGATTATATTTGTTTAAGGTGGTTCTTTAAATACTAAAAATTTGAGGTGCTTTCCTAGGACTCACCCAAAATTACAAATATCTGTATAATTTGGATAAAATATTAAAACTACATGTATATCTTAATGAAATAGGAACATGATAGTAAATCAAGAGCAGCTTCATCAAATGAAAACAAGATGACATGTTTATGTTTATTACTTTTCGAGATTAAATTTATATGCAAGTTTATGGACGTAAATATCTTTCCAGAATTTTCGTTGACTACTATTACTTTTTTGTGACCATTAAAATCGTAATTTTTTAAACTATTATAATCTCGTTTTTGAAAAAAATCTATGGATTTGTGCAGTTAGTTAAAGAAGCAGTTCTGAAGAACCATTTGCTTGCGGCAAACATCTTGGCTCAGATGCTTTTATCTTGTATATTTTTGAAAGTGTTGCCAACTTAAACTGGGCCTTGAGAAACATATACTGTCCCGCGGTTTTATATGATCCATCCGTTCGTCCTGACGCGCGTTCGTAACGACGTAGACGCAGGCGCTCATTTCACTCTTCCATTTTTTTATACATTTTTTGCTCTGGCCGTATTGATCTACTGGAGGCAAAAGCCATAATAAAAGAAGAAGAAGCTAAAAAAGCGTCTTATTTATCTAAGTTATATGTGAAAGATATTATATTTTCAATTTTTTTTCTCTCGTAATTCATCGTTAATCTAGAATTTTGCACATGTCAGTTTCGATAGTTCAACTACAATTATATAAAAAAATTAGACATTTCTATGATAACTCAAATTACTAAAGAATCATTTTAAGTCTATAATCTTCCTTTTTTTTTATTAAGAAAATGGAATGGTAATTATGAATAAAAGGATAAAGAAATAATAATCTGTTTTGAGAGAGAAAGAGAGAGAAAGAATCCGTATTTTATTTACATTAAACAGGTAAGGAATTAATGTAGAGAATAAGGGATCTCGCGCTACCTCTGAACAGCATCTGATGATATATTCGTGATTGCATATTTTGATGCCGGCCGACAGACATAATATGTTCTTTGCTGTGGTATTTGGCACGTTCGTGATGAGTATTGTATTTTCGTACTCGTTTTCTGGTATCTTTTCGAAATCCTCATAGATCTTCCCGCCACCTGCTATGATCTGCTCGTGAAGTCTTTCGCGTACGAAATGTCGCTTCACCCAATCATCCTCGTAGTCTGTTTCGAGATCCGTTTCGGTGGCTTCCGTTTCTGTATTCGACCCAGCGTTGGTCTTCGTATCCTGATACCTGAAATGATGCAGAATGAGTTAGTGAATAATGAATAGAATTCTTAATTTAAATAAAAACATGCGAATAATGCTTTGTGTCTTAAGAAAGGTAGCTGTATTTTGTTCATTTTTTAATATTTTTATATTATTACAATGGCTACCGAAAGTTTTCGGCCAACATATAATTTTACGATCATTTTTGTCAATTTGTTTTCAATTTAAATTATAAGTTAATAAAATTCTTTTAATCAATTTAAGAACATGATATTTAAGTATTAGAATACTCCATCTAATGTGATCATCCGTTTTATCTTATTCTAATTATTCTGCATCTAAAAGTATTGGAAATGTCAAAAATCGATAGTTTAAATCGTAAAATATTGATAATATCTGTACCTTTATATATAATACTTTTATCTGTAGAATAATTAGAAGAATCATATTATGTAAAAAAAATCATAGAATTCTATTTAAAAATGTCATGGCTTTCATAAAAAATTAATTTTGTCATTATTATATGTTTCATCAAGCCAAACAGTTCTGTCTGAATTCTGAATATATTTTTATTCGACTCCTTACTCTGCAAAAACAAAAGGAGTGTTTCATGTTAAATGAAACACCTGTTAAGAACATTAAATACTTGTATGCTAGATCTTTTAAAGATTCTTCATCTGCAGCAATACAATAAAATTACTCACTGAGCTACTCATTTGGCAGTCTCACTGTATATTTTTATTTATTATGTTAATTCCTCGAGTGTCTAGCATTAATTCTTACTAGAATTAAGACCTTTCCGTTCATTTGCCAAATGAATAAGTAAAAGATACCTTTCCAGTTTCTCTAAGGGTATGCAAGTAAGGATGAATGACGTGCCCTTGAAGATGTTGGAGTTCGTAGGGATCGGACCAAGAGTAGCAATCATTTCCGGGTCCTCCTTCTTCTTACTACGTGATTTACTCTTGTTCCTACTTTGCGGTCCTTTCGCGATCTGTTCAAACGGCGTGCCAATTATCTCTCTCTGTATTCCCATCAGAGCATATTCGTCCTCTGTTTTACTGCGAGTCGATTCGACATTTGAATCGCTCGACATTCCCTCGCTTTCCGACAATGCCTTTTCCGTCTTCAACTTGACGGATATGCCGGACACCGAGGGTTCCAGTTTGATTTTACTGATAGAGGTGCTCGAGCCTCCAGCGTTGTTTCTGGACTTAGGAGTCGAGGAAAGTGGTGTTCCGATTCTCTTGGAGCGTCGTTTGCCGTCAACTACGTTGTCCAAGGTCACCTGGCCGAGCGCTTTCGGCGTGCTCGGCAGAGAACTCTTACTTATGGTGTCTACTTCTTCCTTTAACACCTGCGCCTGATCAGCAGACAAGGAGATATTCTGTATTTGTACGCGCAATTTCTCGCCCTCGTCAGTCTCCACCGTGTAGTACGTGTCGCCGTTGGTCGACGTTTCAACATCGATGATGATGCCGCAAGAACCATAATCGTCGGTCTTTGTGGTCGCGTATACAGACAGACCCTTTTTCAGAATCTTTGGTATCGGTATCACAAACTCAGGTATGAGCGTCTTGCTCTTGCCGTCATAGAAGTTCACCTTGTACTTGGCCTTCAGTCGATCGCTCACCGTGCCAAGATAGTAGCTGTTATCTGACCATTTGGCGAACACGTTCTTACCGATTAGCTCGTCAGCCAACATGCTTCGCGGCGACTTCGCCTGAGTGTCCACATCATTTACCAGCCTCTCGTCCTCCTCTACCTTGCTTTTCTTTTTGCTCGGTGTGTCGGTTTCCATGGCGTGCAGAGCCGGCTCGTTAGGAATATTTTTGGCATCGTTCTCGCCGTTAATCTGCGCGGTGATCGATCTCGTCAGTTTGCTTCTCGGTCTCTTCGCAGCTTTGCCGCTCTTTTTTGTGCTCTTTGGCGTGACAGTTAATTCCACTTTCAAACTCGTGAGATGATCCGACGGCGTCGACGAGCGCATATTGATCTTTTCCAAGTGATGATGATGATGATCGTCCAGTCGCTCGTTGCTTACATTTACGAAAGTATCGAGAATCCCTGTGGGGGCTGTAACGGCGGAGGTATTACTGCTTAGTTCCATGTTTGCGTAATTCAGGACAGTCGTTATAAGCAAGCGGTGGTTCTTCCATTCGTGCGTCAAACGATCATAAGTCTCATCCAACGTCTGTTTGTCCGCCACTGTTAATGGAATGTCCTGGGAAGATTTCTTCGTGTGCTTCGGCAGACCCGTTGGCATCGTGAAGAGGTGTCCAGTGTTCTTAGCCATTTTAAAAGCCAAAGAAGCAGCGCTGGACCCTGAGCTTGATGATGACATCATGGACCACCGGGACGGAAAGAGTTGATATAACTGAGGATTGCTGTTCACGGAACCAGGCGATTCCTTGTTGTCGGAAATATCTGCCAACGAGGACTGACTGTCTTCATTCTTCGGTCTGCTCGACTCGATTACAGGTTCGCACTGCACCATAGTCAACTCTTTTCTTACGAGCTCCTTCGTGTTCTCGTCCATGTGTACTAAACACTTGAGCTTCACGTAGACACCGATCTCTCGCTCTTCCTATAATAGTATAATAGTATAATAGTATTTTTTTAGAGTTGGGAAGCATTACTTTTTCCGTTACTTTTTGTAATAAACATGACATTGCAATTTTTTATAACTAAATGTTAAGGTTGTGCCAAGATTGGAAAAATCGATTTTTCCACCTTAGCACAATCTTAGCATTTAGTTATAAAAAATTGCAATGTCACTATCAAATATATCTATTATAAAAAGTAATGGAAAAGTAATGCTTTCCAATTCTGTATTTTCTCATGTATTTATATGCACTCTCAGAAAAGACTCTGCATTTATCATATGGAAAAAGTGACTTTGATTAGCATCTCGTAATCTATAAAATATCACAGTTTCCGCGAATTTGACTCTACATAGTTACACTTTCTATATGATTAATATGATTCTATATAATTAATACGGAGTCCTTTTACAATGATTTTTGATCACAATTTGCTTAAACTGTAAACTGTATAAATTCAAGAAATATTATTAAGTACAAAGAACTGGCTTGACTATATAGTGTTTTCCATTCATGTGAAATTTTTATGTAATATTTTATATCTTCATTTTTTATGTAGCATAAAAACTATATTTTATTATTTCACAGTGTTGAGCCAACTGTCTGTTTGTCTATTCATCCAATTGTCTGTAAAATAAATTTCTCATAACTCTTTCAAGTTTTAGCAATAAATACGCAAGAATTTTAGTTTCATCAAAACAAAATGAATCAAATCAATCACGTAAAAGGGTCAAAAGTCAAGATCAATTTTAATGAAGTTCTTATAATAATTATTTTATGTTACTTAATAATTATAATTACATCTATTCTAAAACATTATCAATTTATTAATAAATTCATGTATCTTTTATCACAAGGTGATGCACTTAAATTGAACATCTTGAATATTTCGCTTATTTTTAATGATATAAAAAAATATTTCAAATGAAAGTATAACGGTTTCGAGGGGGATATATTTGGTCACGTTATTTTTTTTCTAGGTGGAGGTTTTAAAAAGATACGACCTCCACTCTTTTAAATGGAATGTAATTTTTGTTTATATAATATGATTTCTCTAATTATTCTGCATATAAAAGTATTAAGATAGAGATATTAAAAATCCAATAATTTAGATATTTCACATATTTTATTCTGACATATTTAACAGAAAATATCTCGTAAACTATTTATTTTTTAGTTACTGTATTCTATTAGAGGAATCATATTATCTAAAAAAAAAAAAAAAAATCACATAATTCCATTTAAAAAAATGGAAAGAAGTGATCTTTATATCTATCTTTTTGGCTTTTCCACCAGAAAAAAAAACGTGATCAAAATACGTTTCCCTCGAAATCGTTCCACTTTCATTTGAAACATTTTTACATATCATTAAAAATAAATGAAATATTCAAGATGATCGATTTAAGTGGACCACTCTGTATAGTAAAATTGTATATAATAGACAGAGTATCTTTATCAGTCACTCACCTGCTTTGTCTTCCCCAGCATATTGTTATAGAACAGATCAGACTTGTTCTTCTCCTCCACGTTAGATGTTTCATGATCGCTTATGCTGATGAGTTCGATGTTGTCTACGTTTTTAGACTCGAAAGAGATGCTTTTGATGCCATCTACCTTCTTCATATTATGCGCGGTAGTTGTCGCTGTAGCAGGCAGAAACTGTTCCTCACTTACGGAGAATGTATCAGAGTCCAAGCTCACGGTCGTGTCGGCGTCGCTTTTCTTGGACTCGGTGCTGCCATTCACTAGTCTCTTGTCTGACGATTTCGACTCCTGAGATGATCCGCTCTCCTTATAACTGCTCTTGTTCTCGTAAATGCCCTTGCCTTCGTAACTGCTCTTACTCTCATAACTGCTCTTTCCTTCGTAACTCTTGTCCATGACCTGAATCTCAGAAACCTCAATCTCTTTCTTCTCTAACAAATTCAAGATCTTCTCGCCATCCTCGTGCGAATCATCAATCTGAACAACTTCCGGTTTCTTTTTCATACTCTGACGATCGTATATCACCTCGGTCGACGAATTCAATATCTTTTCATCGTCGTCATCTATTTCCACTATTTGTGGCTTTGATTTATTATCAATGATTCGGTTAATATTCTCTATTGATATCAATTCTACGCTGCTTCGCGACTTGGTTTGTGAGGACGGGATCTCTTTGTCGTTCTCGTTAACAGTTTTCTTAATCAATTTGACGCAGTTCGACTGATTATTTTCATCGGATGTTGTTTCTGTATCTTTTACAAGCTCCGGCTCATCTAATGTTCCGACTTCGGATTTTTCTATTATAGCATTCGTGGAAGTAACATCTTTTTCGATCAACACATTATTTTCTTCCAGAAAATTATTTTCGTTTGTGGCGTTAAAGTTGACGGTGATACTATCATTATTGCTGATGTCTGTAAGTTTTGCAGAGACATTCAAATTCTCATCTTTTCCCACGTCGTATTTCTCGTCTTGCTGATTTGTCTGCTCGGCATGATGCTCCTGAACCTTGTCATCATTTATCGTTTCTGCTGTGTGCTCAGTGAGAGTCTTCAGAGTGTTCTGAGTAAATTCTACAGTAGCTGGATCTTGGGTCTCCTCTATTATAACATTCTTGTCTATATTTTTGAATAAGTCCTGGTAAGAATCATCAGATCCACAAGACTGACGACTCTCCTCCTCCAGTCGCTTGTGAAGCTTTCCTTCATCCTCCTCAGACATTTTAGGGATCTTGGCAGATGGTTCGTCAAATGCACTAGCTTTACGTTTCAGATTAACGTCGACACTGCCTATTTTTCTGAGTGGCGAATAACTCTGAGGAGGCGTACCTTGGATAATCTCATCCTCGTCAAAGAGCTCATCTTTTTTCTCTGACTCGCACAACTCGCTGAATACGTTCTCCGTAGTCCTTTCAAGTCTGGCATCGCTTTCCATTACTTTTTCATCTATGATAGATTCGTCTTCTTTATCATTTGCAGTTATTATCGTGTTACTCTCTTCCATTTGCAATGTTTCTGGAATTGATTTGGAATGGATTTGTTGCGCATCCACTTGGTCATGATTTCCAGCCTGTATCTGTTTTAACTTCTCTACCATACTTTCATCTCCTTCAGAATCGACAAGACGAAAATCTTGACTCTCATTCAAGTTTGTCTCTTGAGTCTCGCTAGTAACTTTCAAGCTTTCATTGGTACCTTCATAATGAATCTCCTGCGTGTCTGGCACGCAAGTGTCTGATTCCACAGGGCTAGACATTTTTAACAGATCGTTACAAGTGTTCTGAAAATAAAATATAAATTAATGTAAATTACGTAATAATACGTAAACATTAGAAAAATAAAATCGTAAACGCCTAAGATAATATTGTCAAAACTACATAAATTATTTGCTCTAAAAAAAAATTGCAATTTGAATTTTAATTTGAAAAATTAATGATGAATTTGGTCTCTTGCATTATGCTAAAGTATGTTAAAGGCTGCTTTATATGAAGTATCTAAACGTAGCATAATATAATCAATTTTGAATAAAATAAATGAACATCTAACATGAAAATATCATTATAGAGTATTTCATCGTCGAAAATATTTGGTATCCTGATGAAAATAGAAATCAGAGCACAAGAATGTAATGGATCTACAATAGTTTTAAACCTTAAGCCATAAGAAATGGATGAATCATAGTCGATTATTCTCCTTGAATTCGACTGTAATTTCAAATCAATTTCTTATGCGACTTAAGGCTTAAAAGTAACGTCCATTACAAGCGTTACTCTCCCATTACGTTCGACTTACGCGCTGATTTTTATTTTCACCAGGATAATTTAGTTGAAAGGAAATTTCTTGTTTTTTTCCAAAATTTTGAAAACCTCAAGTTAGTTTGATGAAACTTTCTATATATTTAAGTTTCTATATATTTAAAGTTTCATGAAAACGCAAATCTCGCGTGTGTGCAGCGGATGTTTACAACTTGTTTACGTTGCTTGCACCTTTTGCTTCAGCATTTTCGCTTTCTCTCTCTCTCTCTCTCTCTCTCTCTCTCTCTCTCTCTTCAATGCTCGATATTTAACTCTCTCGTTTTAAGTAGAAACATTTTTGGAGTTTCAAGCAAGGCGAACAGACTTAATGGCGACGAAAGGTTACGGCGGGAACGTCTACGTCTCTCGAGGCGAAGCAAGCCAGTGCGGAACGAGAGACCGGGTGAAATCTGGGAAGTAAACGCGTGCGACATCCGCATCGAGTCGCCGGAATGGACCAGGGGACCGTCTCCACCGCGAACGCGAGATATCATTACATTGGCTTACGTTACCGCGAGGGAACGATTTCGCCGGTCGCCTGAAATGAGAAGTCGGCGAATCTCCCCTCTCGAACTTCGGTCATACCTCTGGTGGCACGCGTGAAACGGAATACTCCCGCACGGAACAATGCGAGATGCATCGAGAGAGCCGAATGCCCGTGAAGTAACTGGCGAATACTGTTCTTCTTCTCCTCTTTATTTTTCCTCTCCTTTAATGTTGTTCGTCAGACGGTACATGAGAAAAGTGACACCCGCCATATTTTCGCACACGGCGTGGCTGATGGCTCGCGGGAACAGCGAGCAGCAGGCTTTATGTTATACCATAATTTAAATGTATTCAAGTTGCGACACTGAGCGGTTAAATTAGAAATACTCAATATGATTGGTCGAATAAAAAATAAAAACCAATGAGATGCTTCTATATGTGGCGTGATTTGCGCAAGCGTAACTTTCACCAGCCAATCAAATCGTCTTAGCGTTTAAATTTGAACCATTTGAACACTTCTGACAAGTGATTTGTTTGCGTGAAATTTTCAAAGATTTTTGTACTTTAGACGAAATAAAATGCATTCGGCCGTTGAAAAGAGAGAAAGCAAAGATGCTAAGTACAAAAGATGCAAGCAACAGATTTATGGATGCGATCCATTTAATGGTACAAATACTTTGTTGATCAATCAGTAAAAAGAATTTTATGAAAAGACCTGAAGATAATTACAGACCTTGATAAAAATGAAAATCAAAGTGTAAGTCGAATGTAATGAGAAAGTACAGATGTATTCACATGTAAGCGTCTAGGGTCAAGCAGCAACCAATCAACGAGGCGATTTTTACAATGGCGTAAAAACATATTTTTTTTACATCACTTTCCGTATCGCCCAGCTGATTGATTGCTACTTCCACTGATTCACGCTTGTATGTGAATGCATCTTAACAGAAGCGAAACTAGGAGACGAAATTGATATAGCATAGAGCATACAGATATAGATAGCATTTTTTTGATCTCACGGATCAACCGTAGTACTTGAAGGTTAAATAAATTTCTGGTATATACATTTTTATTTTTAGTATTCTTTTTTACATTATAATATTTTTGTATTTATAATATTGTTTTTTAATATTTACTTTGTGTTTAATGTCTTCTGTATTTGTTAAAATGTATTGCAAAGAGTGTTCTAAGTACAGTGATGAAATAATACATTCAAATTTACTGCGAAACGGTAACTTGATAACAATTCTAGGGTGCGTTCCAAAATTAAAAATCTGTCAACTCCGAGAATCTTTATCTTTATTCAATATTCGATGACTGACAAAGATAAAATAATACTCGAGTTGACAGAGTTGAATTGAGTTTTGGAATTCTCTCAACTCTGATCGGTTGTTTGACTGACACATGATTACATCCTGCGCATAAACATACTTTTGTCTTTATATCAGTGTATTATTACTGTTTTTGATGATTTTTCACTAATTTTGTGATTTTAAGATCTTTTGGTGATTTAATGAATTATTTTCTTTATTTTTATGTCAACATCCTCTACTTCTCTTATTGAAGTTTCACTCTTTGAAGTTGTTTTTTCATGCAAAAAAATTAGCGTTTATCCTCACTTCGTCATAATTCAAATTCAGCGTTGAAAAGTTAAAGCTATTGCCTTCTTCCTTTTTATAGAACGAAGTTTTGCTGGTAAAATTACTCCCACTATGCTATGAATAAGAAAGCGTTTATATTGGCCGTAATCATATGCCGTATATCGTAATCTGTAAAAATTGACCAATCATCTTCGAGTATTCTCTTTTTATTGCCGAATGAGAGAAAAATACTTGACTGTGATCAGTCAATTCTTGCAGATTACGGCATACAACATACGATTGCGGCCAATATAAACGCTTCCTTATGTTTTATGTATTCTTATGCATTATGCAAGAATGCTCCTCGCTTTACAGTGGAACTGATCAATTGCATTTGCTATTCAGCAGAATCGACCACTCACGGTTGACACTTAGTCGATTAGGTCGATTAATCGGAGTTGATGAAACTTGATCTTGTTTTCAATTCCTCATTGGATCTAAATATTTAACCATATTAATATAAACCAATCAAGAAGCTTAAAGTTACGTTTTTTGACTGAACGCAAACAATCTAATGATTTATATGGGTTTTATTTTAAATTTCACAGGCTAAAGCGTAATAAGTTGTTTTGTCAATAATTCTATAATTAATCTATTATAGTATAATTACTTTTTAAAAAATATAGATGATAATGGTACGTGAAGAGAGATTGTTACAATCTTAATATATTGTATTAGGCCGGAATCAGACTATGCATTGAAGATTACAGATTGAAATTTCACCAATGAGGACAAAGAAATTTTGGCTCCTTTTGTTCTGATTGGTCAAACTTCAATCTTTCAATTTTTAATCTCATTCTTCAATGCGTAGTCTGATTCCGACCTTAAAGCCGGTTGTTTCATCTTTTGATAAATTTTAAGCATTAGAGATTTATTGTTTCATCTTTTGATAAATTTTACCTGTTAGGTAAGTAGCAAGATTATCCAATTATATGTGCGATTTTCAGATTTATCTTAAGCCCGGATCCTCATATAGGCAACAACACTTTGACATCGAACACTGATTGGTGAAAAATAGGTAATGGAGATAAATTTTACCCCCACAACAGACTTTTCACGCTAATCAGCGCTGTGTCAAAACGCTATTGTCTGTATGAGGATCCGGGCTAACAGGTAAAATTTATTAAAAGGTGGAACAACTAAGCCTAGGTAAATAATAAAGGAAGCTTCCCCGCAAGAGACACAAATTGACAAGAATCTTTCTGTCCTTGTTTAATAATCAGTAAGAAGAGAAATGGATTGACTCTTGTATCCATTTGTGCTTCTGCTGGAAAACTCCCAAAATCATCCAATCGCCAGAGATTTATCTAACATGTCAAATTTATCGAAAGATAGTACAACTGGCTTCTAATTGGTCTGTTCTTTGTGCGTTGCGCGCACTTTTTACACTCGGCATCTTCGCTTTCTCGTTTCAAATATATGTCTATCTCATTTCAAGTGTAAAAATATTTGGTGATTTTATGCAATGTGAACAGATCTATTGTGTATATAATTGTGTAGTACAACAGTGAATAATGCCAGCGGTACATGATGTTTGTTTTTCTGCTAGATTACTAGTTGGATTAGAATCTTGCTACTGCATTAGCTGCAGTGGCAAGATTATAACATCTGTATTCATAGGCCGGTATTCATAGGCCGGTATTCATAGTCAAATCTTATTCAAGACCGTCTTAAATATAGTCTTAAGAAGTCACGAATCAATCAGAAGGCCGCATTAGCTACTTAAGACATTACTTAAGACGATCTTAAAATAAGAACCGTTTATGAATACCAGCCGTAGTCCTTCCTTATTTTAAGGATGAAAGAAGCTTCGTGAAGAATTCCCCGATTCTTCAAAATTTCCTTGTTTCATAAACGGATCTGCCTTCCTGAAGGAAGGAATATTTTAGGGATTTTAATAACGTATTGAGGGTAGCACGTCATAATATATAGTATACGCATACCTAATATCGTGAATTACGAATATAAAGGCATTGTTGATTAAATAAGATCGTGATTAAGCAACAATAATAGACAAAAGTAAAACTAATAGCGAATTTGATTGAACACACTCATTACGCACTGATGCACATTAAAACCGCCATACATACATAAAGTAACGTAAATATATGTTCATAAATAAATATGAAAATCGATTAAATTGTAAAATACATTTTATTGTACTGTTAGATAAAATATGTATTTTATAATTCGAAATATTTGCATTTTATTTTTATATTCAAATTAAATCAGTGTAAAATGGTTTTAATATGCATCAGTGCTTCCAATCGAATTCGTCGTAATGCTTATTATACGAAGAAGGAGAAAATGCTTTTAGAAGAGTTTATTTCCGAAAAAAAGCTACCAAAATTATTATCGATGCGTCAGATTTAAATTAAAAGCTATCGAAAGTAAAAAGATCGATGTGATGAATTAAATTTGGAGATTTGCTTGATTATGAAAGCTACATCTCCTCAAGGAAACTCATAACCTCCCTTGAGAAAAGGAAATTATAGAAATAATATAAAAATAAGGTTCCTTGTTCGGTCAAGGAAGATTGAAACATGAAATGAGGAACAAGGAATCCTCATTCCTCAATGAAGAACTATAAATACGGTATAAGTCAGCTACAAATGGAAGAAAACAAGCGTCGTGTGCTACTGGCTTAATATATCTGTATGTAAATTGCAAATGGCGGTGTTTATTTATTAAAGAGCAACCGTACTGTCAACAGAGATTGCAAAAAAATTCATCACTCTATTCTTTTTTTTTTTTTAATTATTTCACGCATTTGGTGAATTTTGGGACCTTTTAATGAATTTTGAAGCAGAAATTATATTTTGACTCGCGGCAACACTACTTTATATTAATAATAGCGTAAATTAATTAATGACAACAGAGAAAATCAGGGGCGCTCCTCGTCTCGATCTCCTGGTCTCTCCTCCGAGTTGGTAGAGTTCTGCTACTGAGCCACACAGTCCCCTTGATGTGTTGTATCTCTGTTATGTCTATATCTAATAAATTTCTCTACAATAGCGTTTTTCTCTTGGTTGCACTATCACCCCACTAGTGCAACACTCAGACAATGTATTATACTATGGTGATAAGCGAACTCATTCGGTGTACTGTATTTCCGTGGCTACGGTATAGCAAATTTTATGCGAAGTGGGATTTTGCTACACCATCTCAAGGAGGAGGAGTGTGACATTTAAAATTTGAAAATGGAAATCAAGCGGGAATCAAGAGTTTTAGTACAATAATGATGCAGTGTACACCACTCTAGTGTAACGTAGCTGAGTGTAGCGCTTACACGCAACTGGGGCGCGGATTCCATAAGCCCGGATCCTCATACGAGCAACAGTACTTTGAGCACAGAACACTGATTGGTGAAAAGTCGATTATAGGGGTAGTTAAATTAAATAAATTTTACCTCCATCATCCGTTTTTCACCAATCAGCGTTCAGTGTCGCAAAACGCTGTTGCCCGTATGAGGATCCGGGCTAACTGTCTTTACATGCTATTGACAGTTATCGGTGTCATTGTGCCGATATTTCATATGATGAAAAACACAATTGTCGGTAGGCGTGTAAAACAATTACGGAATTGTGTTCCTGGGAATCGATTCTGTATCTTAAAACGAGATGAAAATTACAAAAATGAACGAATTTACTGGTAATTC